ACTCCCTCCCCCTCCCCCACTTCCCACAGCACCCCCCATTGGCGAGGCTGGGGCTGGTATAACCGCTCCCGCCTGTTCCCCATAGCACCCCCAGCTGGGCAAGGAGGAAGGGGACTCAGGGAAATGCACAGAGAGAGACCCTCCATCCACATGGTCTCCCCTCCAGTCCCCTCCCTTTCCCGGCCCCACCATCCCTCATCCCTGCCCCCCACATCCCCAGCAAGCAAGTGGCTAGAATCTCCGGTCACTGCCCTGGGATCAGGGGGGAGCCGATGACCCCTAGAGGGGGCCCAGCTGGGCAAGGAGGAAGGGGACTCAGGGAAATGCACAGAGAGAGACCCTCCATCCACATGGTCTCCCCTCCAGTCCCCTCCCTTTCCCGGCCCCACCATCCCTCATCCCTGCCCCCCACATCCCCAGCAAGCAAGTGGCTAGAATCTCCGGTCACTGCCCTGGGATCAGGGGGGAGCCGATGACCCCTAGAGGGGGCAGGACTCTGCCCCATTCCCCGCCCTGAGGCCAGATCAAAACATTTACAAATTAGGAATGTCTACGTGTGTCATGGTGTGTGTCTGCGTGTCACCATGTGTCTCAGCATGTGTAGCGTGTGCGTCTGTGTCTCACCCTGGGTCTTGGCATGTGTATGTCCATGTTGCCATGTGTTCTGGGGTGTGTGCCATGTGTCTGTGTGTGTAGTGTGTCTGCATGTCACCATGTGCTCCTCTGTGTGTAGCATGCATCTTTGTCTCAGCCTGTGTGTCTGCAGGTCACCATGTGTCTCAGCATGTGTAACGTGCCTGCGTGTCGCTGCATGTCTCAGCGTGTGTAACGTGTGTCTGCAGGTCACTGCGTGTCTCGGCGTGTGTAATGTGTCTGCGTGTCGCTGCATGTCTCAGCGTGTGTAACGTGTGTCTGCAGGTCACTGTGTGTCTCAGTGTGTGTAATGTGTGTCTGCGTGTCACTGCATTTCTCAGCATGTGTAACATGCATGTCTATGGGTCACTGTGTGTCTCAGCATGTGTAACGTGTGTCTGCGTGACATTGTGTGTCTCAACATGTGTAACGTGCATGTCTGTGGGTCACTGCGTGTCTCAGCGTGTGTAATGTGTGTCTGCCTGTCATTGTGTGTCTCAGCGTGTGTAATGTGTCTGTTCTCTGCCCACCCTCGCTGGGCTCTGGGCCCTAGGGGCCTATGTTTGCTCCGTGATTATTTCCACACTAAATGCTCGGCGGCAGGACACAGGCGCGTGTTCCCGGGGGATCCGGGGGAGGGGATGGCTGGAGGACGGGGCCTGTCTGGGATATGAATTAGCTTAGCTGGAAAATTCTTTCGCTGCCAGCCTCGAACCTGAGGGGGAGATGGCGGGTGGAGGACTTGTGGGGGGAGGGGGCTATGAGCGCACTCAGCCAGCCTCTGCCTGCTTCATGCCCCCGGCCCTGCAGCGGGGAGTCCTGGCTCCCAGCGCCCCACCGCTGCTCTAACCACTGGACCCTCCTCCCCTCCCAGAACCCGCGATAGGACTCAGGCGGCCTGATCCCCCATCCATCCCTGTTAAATAGCGGCCAGGATCCCCCAGGTACCCAGCCTCCCCCGTCCTGCCCCAGAGGTGGCTGCATCTCTGTGCCAGACGAACGGCCCCGGATACCCAGCCCCTGCGTCCCAACCCACAGGTGGCTGCATCTCTCGTCTCCGATTGTTTTTTCGTCCATTCACGTCCTTGGTGACCTCAGCTGTCACAGCCGCTCAGCCGCCCGTTCCGCATGAGGCCCCAAGGTCCCTGTCACTCCGGGGTCCTGGCTCCGCGCCCGGCCGCATGGCACAGCTGGGCCAGGTTGGTTGTGCTAAGGCAGAGACGTGGGCCCGGCCGGGGGAGGAGGGGTGGGGGTGGGCCCACGTTGTCTAGAAGCTTAACGAGTGTGTGCGCGTGTGCACGCACAGGCAACCATCCACCTTGTGTCTTAGCCCCTGTACTGGCCTGGCTAAGGGGGATTCTCCTGGGCCTCAGCAGGCTGGGGCTGAATGTGGGGTCCAGGTGGGTTTGGCTTCTAGGTGCTTGTGGGTTTCCTGGTGCTGGGCCCCTCCGTGGCCAGACTTTCACTGCTTTGGGCAGCTCCCAGGTGCGCCGCAGCTTGAAACACTCGGCCCGTCCCTGGGGCCAGAGGGACACACGGGGCCACTGAAGCCACAGCCCCCAAGATCTAGCACCTTTCCTTTCCTGGCGCCTAGAACCACGTTTCCCCTCTATGCTCACACCTAGCAGCAGATTTTCCCCATGTTGTGATCTAGAACATCCAGGCACATCCCTTCATCTGGGGATCTAGAAACACTGCCGGCTTCTCTCCTTGCTGGATCTAGAACACCAGCCTAGATGTCCCCTCCTGCTGTGCTCTGTAGATCTAGAACATTAGAGCACCCCCCCCAGTGCTTTGGCTCTAGAACCCGGGGGTTCCCTTGCCCATGGTTCTGAGGCCTAAGGGCAGGTTCCCTCCTCGTGATCTAGAAAGCTCTGGGCTCCCATCGCCCATGGATCTAGAACACTGGGGCTGCTTTCCTTCCTTCACGCTTGATCAAGAACATACGTGCCGGTTCTCCCCCCCCCAGGTCTAGAACATCAGGGGCTGGTTTCTTCCCCCTCCCGCCACCTGGAACGCAGGGGGCAGTTCTGGCTCTCGCTGGCTCTCGCTGACCTAGAACTGCGGTGCGGTAGTTACCCCTCCCATGATCTAGACTCTGATGAGCCTTTTCTCCTCAGGAGGCGAAATCCAGCAGCTCCCTCCCCCTCCCCGGCATCCATCCATCACGCGCGCCCCAAGGGAAGCTGCCCCGGTGAATAATTTAGGCCGGCACTTACCGTGACTGAGGCTCGTTTGTAACCGCGGCCTTCTCGCCGGAGGTGAAATATCGTTTAGTTGGGTAACGAGGACAGGCACCCCTCCCCCGCCGCGCTGCATTCCAGCTAGGGTGCAGCCAGCGCGGATGGCCAGGGAGAGCGCCCCCTCCAGGCTGTCCGCCCCGCTCCCTGCAGCACAGCGCCCCCTAGGGCCTCACTGGGGCCCTGCCTGCCAGGGGAGAGCGCCCCCTGCTGGGCCCCCTACTCCCTGCCACACAGCGCCCCCTAGGGCCTCACTGGGGCATCAGGGCCAGTCCTGCCCACCAGGGGAGAGCGCCCCGTGCTGGGCCCCCTACTCCTCACAACACAGCGCCCCCTAGGGCCTCACTGGGGCATCAGGGCCAGTCCTGCCCACCAGGGGAGAGCGCCCCGTGCTGGGCCCCCTACTCCTCACAACACAGCGCCCCCTAGGGCCTCACTGGGGCATTAGGGCCAGCGCTGTCTGCCAGCGGAGAGCGCCCCCTGCTGGGCCCCCTACTCCTCACAACACAGCGCCCCCTAGGGCCTCACTGGGGCATTAGGGCCAGCGCTGTCTGCCAGCGGAGAGCGCCCCCTGCTGGGCCCCCTACTCCCTGCCACACAGCGCCCCCTGGCACCACGCTGGGGTCCCCCCCACGCACCGTCCTCCCAGTCCTTCTACAGCCTTCCGGCATTCAGACGACACCTGTTCCTTCCACACTCCCTCCCCCCGCCACACTGCCGGGTCCCCCTGCTGGCCCCCCTCCCCCCTGCCACACAGCGCCTCCTGGCACCACGCTGGGGTCCCCCCCACTCACCATCCTCCCAGTCCTTCTACAGCCTTCCGGCATTCAGACGACACCTGTTCCTTCCCCACTCCCTCCCCCCGCCCGCCTGCGGGCTCAGCGCCAGGGCACCCTCCATGAATCCGCCTCCCCACTTCAGCTCCCCCCCAGGGACAGGCTCACAGGCGGCCTGACAGGGCGGCGAGAATCTTAATTAACAGGGTTTATTTATAACAATGAACAAACAAACAAATCTGCACTGGGAAGCCGGGAGACGAAAGAGACGTGTGTGTCCCCCCCTTCCCCCCCTGGTGCTGAGATGCAGCCACCTCTGGGGTGGAGCGCGAGGCCTGGGGAGCTCTCCTTTCCTCTGCTCAGCCCCCGTAAGCCCACAAGCCGTTACCCCTGCCACCTCCTCATGGTGCTTCAAACCACGGAGCTGTCTCCTTCGGAGGGTGGGGATCGGGGCCGATCCCTCCTAGGGCCAGGTCTACACTAGGAAAGGGGTTGGAAAGAACTAAGTTTGACTTAATAGCTCCCGATTTTACCAAAATCGAGCTAGCGGGTCCCTGTTATGGGGAAGCCCCGAAAAGAGCCCGAGGCAGGGCCGTGAACATGGACGCGCAGCCCCGACGTCGAGCCCAGGACGCACTGGGGAGCAGCCAGGTCTGGGGAGTGGTTATTTCGGAATAGCTGCACCATGGACGTTGCCGCCTCCGAGTTCTACCGCAGCGGGAAATATGACCTGGACTTCAAATCCCCTGACGACCCCGGGCGCTACATTAGCGGAGAGAAGCTGGGAGAGCTCTACCAGAGCTTCATTAAGAACTACCCTGGTAAGGGGCCTGTCCTCTCTAACACCAGCTCCCACCTGGCCCCAGGGCAGGGACTGGCTGGCTCAGGGGGGCAGGGAATGGGGCAGGGGTCATTCCCCCTTAGGGGCACCAGCTCCCACCTGCCCCAGGGCAGGGGCTTGCTGGCTCAGGGGGGCAGGGAATGGGGCATCCCCTGCCAGGGC